AATGTGGAGTGAGGTACCTGGCTGGGGGCTAAAGCCAGGGTGGACCACACCTCTCCCTGGGAAACCATAACTTCACTGGGTAGAATTACGCTACCGCAGGGGTGGGAGGGGGAGAGTTAGGTTCTCTTTTTCCTTCCTTCTTCACACAGACAGTAGCCCACAGGCTCAAACCTTTCCTGCAGGTAGACTATGACCCAGCCCAGACCAGAGAAGCTCTTTGAGATTCTCATCCTAAGATACAACTTCTCAGTTAACAGTTGCCAGTCCCAGAAGTCCACCCTGGCTCCATCTGCCTTATTTCACTTGTCTTATTTCTCAGTTGGCTCAGGACTTGGGAAGGAACGAGTACTCTTTGAAAATAAAGGTTTTCATACAATAAAAACCTTCCCTCCCTCAACAGACCTCAAAACTAAATTAGGAAGCACTATCCTCATCTATCAAACCTGTCATCTTAATGAAAAATCCTTCAAATCTCTTACTTAATAGCTCCAAAGACACGGTTGGGGTTTGACTGAGAGTTCTAGCTCAAGAGGTATAATAAGGCAAATACAACAGAAATAGCAAATATTGGGGGAGAAGGGAGATGACTTCAGTGCCACTGTGAAACCCTAGGGTACACAGTTCATGGTCTGTAGCCACAGAGAGGAAGAGGAAATGTGAAATCTTTAGATAGTCTTACCTTGTGATTTCATATCTGCATGTTTTTTTTTAAAACCACACCAGGAAACGAAATTTTTGAATGTATCTTTTCTCTTTTAAAAATTTAAAAACATTTAGTATTTAAAAAGGCAGACTTGCATGCACACACACAGTCGCACACACTCACGTGTACACAACTCCTGGAGACTGCTTACAAATAAGACAGTGCTCCTTTCCCCTGGAAGAAAGGAAATTGGAAGGTTCCATGGAGAACTGACAGCTGACCTGAGTTTATGATATGAATAAGGTACATGCCAGGCAAGATAAGACACAAAGACATTCAAGTAATTAAATGTAAGAAGAGGCAAAAAAACATTTATTCACGTATTCATTCAGCAAAGATTTATCAAATGCCTCCTCTGTGCGTGTATTGGTTTAAGTCCTGGGACACAGCAGTTAATGATCCTGGCAAGATTTCTGCTTTCGCTACCTTCTAACAGAGGAGACTAACAATAAACCAGTTAACAGATACACAAACCAAGGAGCTAGGAAGAAAACCCAATGGGCTGAGATGGCCAGAGGAACACTGGGGACACACCAGACTCCCTCCCTCCATCTGTAGAAGTGTAGAGAGTGAGAGGCGAGAGCAGAGCCACGGGCCAACACCTGACTCCATCCCTTTGTTTTTCCACTGGGAAGAATTTTCCCTAAACCCTCCTGGCCTCCCATTCCATCCTTTTTCTTTCCCAGGAATGTGGAGTGAGGTACCTGGCTGGGGGCTAAAGCCAGGGTGGACCACACCTCTCCCTGGGAAACCATAACTTCACTGGGTAGAATTACGCTACCGCAGGGGTGGGAGGGGGAGAGTTAGGTTCTCTTTTTCCTTCCTTCTTCACACAGACAGTAGCCCACAGGCTCAAACCTTTCCTGCAGGTAGACTATGACCCAGCCCAGACCAGAGAAGCTCTTTGAGATTCTCATCCTAAGATACAACTTCTCAGTTAACAGTTGCCAGTCCCAGAAGTCCACCCTGGCTCCATCTGCCTTATTTCACTTGTCTTATTTCTCAGTTGGCTCAGGACTTGGGAAGGAACGAGTACTCTTTGAAAATAAAGGTTTTCATACAATAAAAACCTTCCCTCCCTCAACAGACCTCAAAACTAAATTAGGAAGCACTATCCTCATCTATCAAACCTGTCATCTTAATGAAAAATCCTTCAAATCTCTTACTTAATAGCTCCAAAGACACGGTTGGGGTTTGACTGAGAGTTCTAGCTCAAGAGGTATAATAAGGCAAATACAACAGAAATAGCAAATATTGGGGGAGAAGGGAGATGACTTCAGTGCCACTGTGAAACCCTAGGGTACACAGTTCATGGTCTGTAGCCACAGAGAGGAAGAGGAAATGTGAAATCTTTAGATAGTCTTACCTTGTGATTTCATATCTGCATGTTTTTTTTTAAAACCACACCAGGAAACGAAATTTTTGAATGTATCTTTTCTCTTTTAAAAATTTAAAAACATTTAGTATTTACACACTTGCCTCATTGCTTCCTTATGAAGCTGGATGAGACCAAAACATTATCATGAAGAAATATCAATGGTATAGTTACTATCTACAAGACCCAGTTCTGAGCATTCGAGAGATAATAATTTTTAAAAAGATGAAGAGTAAAAAGGATGGCTCCTAGGTTCTTTACCTAAAAAGACTGCTCAGGCCCCCAAGGTGTTATGTATCAAAAAAAAGGAGATACAAATCAAATGTCAAATAGATGGTAAAGATTTTTTTAAATGAGTCAGGAGTTTGGTGGGGGGAAGCATCTGCTAATATCTGGAGGGATTACAATGGTATCATGGACGACTATTTTTTTCGTTTTTTCCCCACACACATGGCATGTGGGATCCTAGTTCCCCGACCAGGGATTAAACCCACACCCCCTGTATTTTAAGTACAGAGTCTTAACCACTGGACAGTCAGGGAAGTCCCCATGAAGGATTTTAGAGATGAGAAAACGCCAAAGAAATGTGAAAACCCCACCCACACACACACACGCTGGAGAGACTGCAGTTAGAAACTGCACCTCTCGTGGAAGCCCCAAGAAGATACGCCATGTGCGAAGGATTGCTGGGGCCAGCCCTACAGGGCCTGGCCTCGCACTGCCCCGAGAGGGCTCTCCTCAACCCCCCGTGGACCACGTTAAACGTGGCCCGCTTCTCTGGATTCCACCCCGCTCCGTTTCCCTGTCCACTTCCAGCCAGGAGCAGCTGAGCGCCCCGTACAGGAAGCACTCTGCCCACCATGCCCCTGTGCCAGGGCCGCCTGGCCAGAGGGCTGATTAGGAGAACAGGCTCTCACCGACTCGGGCTGGGCGGTTCTCTGCCAGCACACTCGGGGACCCGCAGAATTTTACTACAGACACCGCCTTCCCCTCGTCGAGCCCCCGGCTCGGCGGGGACAGGAGGCAAGTGTTGATAGCAGAGACGGACAGCAATGACCCAATCCACATGCCCTACAGGAGAGGAAAGGCGGGCCGGGATAACATGGAAAAAAAGGCGGGGGGCACGGGGCTGTGTTCATCCTGCCCAGGACACACGGGCTGCCTCGGCCATGATATTTTTTCTGGCTGCAGAGACATGTTGCTATGTAACCAATACATGCCACTGCTACTTGGCCTCTGGCAAATAAAATCGCAGCGCTGGCGGGAGTGTTTCCCTTAAAGGGATACCATCGAGTCGGGGCGCTGTTCCAGCCCCACCGAATACCGTGAGCTGGAGCCCACTGGACCCCTGTTTCACAAAGTGGACACTTGTACGGCACATGAGCCTGGATGGTACCAACACGAGGCGTGGGGATCAGCCTCTGAGTTGCTTTTTAAGAAACTCACAGCTTCGGTGTATTTTTGGTTCCCCACAACCAGTAAAAGCAAACAGCGTGTAGTTCTGGGGAATAATGATTTGATGCCTCCTGACTGTGGACTTCAAACCCAGCAGGAAACCGAAGTTGCCGTAAGAGGCTCAGCGTGGGTTCAGGTGGTCCTTATTTCCCTGCTTTGCCATTCCTCAATTCATACCCATCTCTACCAGTTTTTTACTTAAAGAACAGCACAAAATAGGCAAGGAATTCGGCACTTTCCCCCTTTCCCCAAGGCCCTTAACTGTCTCCTGTTCTGGTCATGATCAATCTCTTGGTTCCACCGAGAGCCTCCAATCTCCCCAGGGAGCAGCAGACCTCAGCATTCCACGTTACGGAGGTGTGCTCTGGGGGATAAACCTTCTGAGCTTTTCTTGGATAAGATGAGGGAATGGAAACCCTCACAGTTCTAATGATGCACAGTTCACGCACAGGGAGTACGTGGGGACAGGAGACATCAATTCTAGAGTAATAAGCAGGCGAGATAGGCAGCCCCTCAGTGAGTCAGCAATCCATGTTCTAAATTCTATACAGTACGCGGGTAGAAAGCGGACTGTCTCTGTACCCTGATGAGCAGAAAAATCAAGTTCCTTTTCAAGGACTCCAGGAAGGGCCAAAGAGAAGCCCTCTGTCTGTCAAGATAAAGTGATTAGGTTGAGAAGTGGGATACAATGAGGGACGCGGGCTCTCAATACTAGGTTTAGACCAAACTCTAGAGGTGATGAGACGTTTCAGAAATAAGTGCACTTAGATCGTCCACCTTCTGGGATCCCACATTTGTACATCCTCCATAGTACCCCCCAAGGCACTCTCATGTAAAAAGCATCCCTTTTTTTTTAGAGAAGGAGCGCTCCTCTGAGAGTCTATGACTGCAGGCCAAATTTGCACAGCACCGCCGGAAAGCTGCTCCGCCCCGCTCTGCAGGTGCGGGCGGTCCCGGGCGGGGGCGAGCCGCTCTGCAGCTGGCCTGCACGCACTGCAGGTGCGCCTCGGAGTCTAGCAGCAAAGCAGGTGGACCACGGAGCCCCAGCACGTGACGGGGTGTTGCAAATGCGGTGGTTTGGGAAAGGGGCAAAGGAAACAAAAAACAGGCCTTTTCAGAAGAGGTCCCAAACAAAATGGTTCTGGATACCGCCATGCCATCAGCTTCTCTAGGTAGTAGCCAAGTACGAGAAAGTTAAACAGGAGAGAGTGCTCCTCCTGCCACTTGTCTTGAAAGACACAAGCTAACAGCAACAAAGAAGACCAACTTAGAGGAGACAAAACCTGTGAACAGCCAAAACAAACGGCAGGAAAACACCAGGGGGAACCGCCCCCTTGGAAGGGAAGAGGAGACGCAAGGAGTAGGAAGAGTATCTCGGCCCCAGGTGGGAGAAGGTCTACGGATTATGAGTGCCTTCCGAGCGAGGCAAGTAAAACACACACGTGAAGGAGTCAAAGGATCACTCACCCTGTGAAAACAGCAGTCTGGTCTCTCTTCACCCAGAAAACGGACTAATTTCTTTGGAAAACTGGAAGAGAAAAAGAGATTAAAAATAAAACGTTAAACCCATCCGATAAATTGGCTCGGGGACGCGAGCCAGGGAGATGAGACCCCCCAGCCCCGGGCCCCTGGTTACTTACTAGGCACACAACTAATGTCTGAAGACCATGGACCTCCCACCGCTTGGCTGACTATGCGGATTTTAAAGATGGAGCTCTGAACAATTAATATGAAGAAAACAATCGCGTGCATGATTCCTTTATCTCCGGAGGAGTGAATCTTTGAAAAAGGAGTGTCATGGGGCTGCACCCTGTGGGTCTTCAAGCCGTGTAGTTGCCCAGGCTCGAGATGGGAGGAAGAGCCCAGAGACAGTGACATCTGGTTTACTGAACAGGGGGGTCCTCCACAGAGGCCGTGGAGAGACAACCCCACCGTGTGCGATGGACGGTGAGCAAGACACAGACATGGCCGCACTCATTAATTGGGGAGGAGGCTACCATTTATAGGGGGAATAGAGGGCAGGTGGGCTCCACCAGTTACCAGGGAAACCCAGAGGTTAGGGCAGAGCAAGCACGTAGGCAGTTACTGATTAAGCCCTGTAATTAAGGGATTGGAGAGTCATGTGAGTGAAGCTGAGCCTGGTCGGGCAGGTGATGTAGAGACCAAGGGAACTGCCATCTTGATCAGCCTGACCATACAATACATAGTCCACATATATCATGGTGCCTGGGAAATCATTTTTAGGTAGACCTTTAAAAACCCCATATCTGCACCCCCACAATGGGGCTAACTGAAGATGTCTTCATAGTAACCAGAGCATCCCATCACGTCACTCTGCCTTCTCCCAAAATGGGGCAGCCACAACGCCAACCACCCCTCCCCCACCGCCGCCACTGAAGTCCATGACCCCAACGGGATCCATAATTAAGCTCCTACGGGAAGGGGGACTTGGCAGAGAGGCGCCCACATATCAGGCGGACTGAGTAATCCCGTGAGGAAGCCACGGTGTCTGAGATAAAGTGTGGGAAAGAACCGAGATGATGTGAGTGTTGGAAGAGGAAGCCTGGAAGACAAAGGCAGATAAGGCGGTGACAGCCACAGACCGTTTAATCTGCATCACCCAAGGAACTCGGCGCAAGATCCAAGTTTTTAAATATTTCCACAGGCTGCTTTCAAGACGGCTTTGCAGGCTCAGGAGGGGAGGAGGCAAGGCGAGCCTAGGTCCCCAGCCTGGTAATTTTCACACGATCCCAGAGTCCCAGGGATCCAGTCTCCAGCCACTGCTTTTGCTCCCTTTTCCCTAAAAGGAAAACAGCACTGTGACCTCCAGGGCTGGATGGGGAGTCTCCTCCCAGAGAGGTGTCCACTGGCCACAGATTCCCAGACTCGGTGCCTCAGAATCTTCTAGGCTGCCTTCACAGCCCCAGGGAGGAAGCCCCCTCCCCGACTACCAGCCTGTGCGGGGAGAGGAGAGGGCTACTGAGACCACGCGATTCTGCCTCTTGGGAAGTTCACACCCTGAAACACTGCAATCCCAGAGAGATGGTCCTGCCCCCACTGGTGAAATCTCTGAGCGCCGTCTTTCGAAAGCAACACGCTATAATTCACTCGCATACATTAACCTTTTCCTCCTCAAGGCAGACAGGAGGTTGAGAGTGAGATTCACCAGGACCCCACACACTGATTTCAGAGTCAAACCCGAATCTGAGTCTCAGATGCGTCACCCACCACCTGTGCGATGCCGGGGACATAAACTCTCGGAACCCTTTCCTCATTTGCATTGATGGCGGTCATAATACCGACTTTACATCATGTCTCAGGTTCTCAGCGTGGTGCCTGGCACACAGAAGAGACTTAATAAAAAGAAAATCCCTTAATGCCATGCAGCACAACACGTTTACAGATCTGTGACAACAGACTAGAATGGCAGAGAAAACTGTGGGTATCTGTATTGTATTCTCTTTTTCTCCACCCGCCAAAAACAAGATGAGAAAAATGAAAACAAAATAAAACCATTTACTGTGAACAATTAGGGCTTGTCAGGTGGCTCAGTGGTAAAGAATTCATCTGCCAATGCAGGAGACTTAAGAGACTCAGGTTTGATCCTTGGGTGGGGAAGATTCCCTGGAGAGGGAAATGACAACCCACTCCAGTCCGCTTGCCTGGAGAATCCCATGAACAGAGGAGCCTGGTGGGTTAGAGTCCACGGGGTCACAAAAGTCGGACACAACTAAAGCGACTAGGCACATGCCCATGGGAACAATTAGGTAATACACATAAGGAGGGAAAAAACGCCAAATAATACAAAGCAGCAAAAGTTCCACTAATAACACTTTGAACATTTTTACTTCTACAGCACCAAGCTCTCAGCTATGCTCAAATATACAGAATATAACATACACATACTTATATAAATAAAATTATATACATACATACAATGTATTCATAACATTCTATGATACCATTCATATTGTTCTTGTCTAATATCTTACTTGTTATATTGCAAACCTCTTTTAACATCAACAAATCCATCCCCATCATAATTGTTTAAGGACTACAAGAGTATTGCGATGAAAGAATGAACCACTAAATCCATATTTGTTGAATTTACAGAATTTATCAGTATCCCACATTTATGAGAAACAACTACACTTGTGGGAGTGTGTGATTCTTTCGCTTCTACATCTTCATCAAGATTGAGAAAGGCAGCATGCATAAATATCAGAAGCCTTAACAACAAAAAATTGTTTCAGTTTGAGTGGGTGTAGCTGAGAAGACTACAAACTAGTACATTTACTGCAGGGAATAATATCACAAATCACAATATTCAGTGAGTTTCCAATATATCGAAAGGGGACGAAATTTTAAAGACTAGGACTATCAGTGGATATAGATGCCTCTTTCAAGTGTGAAAATTGTTAAGTCTGAAGTTCAAGAGGTGTCCTGTTTGCAGCCCGATTGTGGTGGAGCGACTTCATGATACAGAGAGAAGTAAACTGGAAATTGTAGACTCCTGTGTGAACCTAAAAATTATAATCACATTATATTAACTAGAAAACTTTTTTTAAAAAATCAGAATTTACCATATTTAGAAGATACCAAGAACGCGAATGTTTGTGCAGTCTTTATAGTTCTAATCTAATTTCCTTCTGAAGGAGAATGGTTGGTTTGGTAAAAAAAAAAACATGTGTGATACAGCTTAACTGAGTTGCACCACACACGCTTGTCCTCAACTGAGAAACTTGTAGCTGGGAAGTGAAGGTATCCCCACAATCAGCAGAGTGTAGAGTGAACTCTTCCTCCAGTTATGAATGGAACCCTTTAATGCATTGCCAACCCTGCTCCTACAAGCAGGCAGGAGGTGGGAAATTGCCAGGGAGCACAGAGAAAGAAAGACAGGACGCACTGTGGCAGCAGATTAATGCCAAATCAGATACCAGCTGAAAAATTCTGGTATCTGAGACCAAAAGTGGAGAAACACAAGAGTTCGGCTTGTGAAACCGGAACCTGCAACAAATGCACAGGTGATAAACCCTTCACACGCTACGTTCTAAGAAAAGTTCATGCTTTGTCCAGCTTATGCGACTTTTAGGGGAAGCAACAATTTGTGGTGGGGGGCATGTTCTTAGAAGAGATTTCTACTGTTCTATGTTGTCCATGAGTAACAGCATCAACACCTGGAGATAAGAACTTAGATCTTAAATTTTAGCACTGGATGGAAGCAGAGAAAGTCTCTCTTTGACAACTCCCACTAGGGACTTTACTGTATGGAAGAATATGGACTGAGCTATGTTTAACAGATCTCTTTTGATGGTACAGTTCAGGAGCTTGTGAGAAGTTCCTAGATCTAACCATGAACTTCTTACAGGAACAGAATTTCTGCTTTGCTTCACTGTGTCATGGTCCCTGGTTTCTGCATGAGAGAAAACCAGATGGTCAGGCTGTGTTGTGCACTATCCAGTATAATGTCTCTTTTATGCAGTGGAACCTAAATGACACAGATTCTTAAATGTGCTTTCAAAGGGACCTTTGCATCCTTTGATGGTGTAGGTAAGCTGGCCCAGAGAACATCCTTTGATGGTGTAGGTGGGCTGGACCAGAGTACATTCTGTAGGGCAGACCCAGCCATGGAAAATGAGAGTTTAGAGTCTAAGACACCCCCATCCCATTGTGTGTCTCTGGCAAATATGACCTAGCTAGGAAAACTGGGCTGTTACTCTCTATTCCACACTTACAACATATTTCTGGACTACTGATTTAGAAAAGTTCTGTGTTGCCATTGTATAATGTCATCCTGAGTAAGCACTGGATTCCTTAATATTAACTATTCCCATTTACTGGGTGGCTAATTATGCCAACAGGGGCTTCCCTGGTGGCTCAGTAGTAAAAAATACGCCTTTGATGCAGGAGATGCAGGTTCAATCCCTGGGTTGGGAAGATCCCCTGAAGAAGGAAAAGGGAACCCACTCCACTGTTCTTGTCCGGGAAATCCCATGGACAGAGAAGCCTGGCAGGCTACAGTCCACGAGGTCGCAAAAGAGTGGGACACGACTTCGAGACTGAACAACAATACTTATGCCAACAAGTTTTATCTACTATCTTTAATCCTCACAAAATCTCTGTAAAACAGGTTCTCTTAGACCCAGTGTGCAAATAAGGAAAAGAAGGTTCAAGGCAAGTGGCCTATCCAAGGTTACATAACCAGTAGGTGACAAAGCAAGAATTCTAAGCCAGGTCTGCCTGGGTTTCCTGGCCAGAAAGAAAAAGAGAGAAGCACTGTGGCAAGAAGCATGTGGATTTCTGTATGGAAGCCCTGGTACGCAGCATTCTGTTGAACACAAAAGACAGCACTTGCTCCCATTAAATAAGCAGACATTTCTTTTTCAGGTTATAAAATAGATGGGGGCAGCAAGTGAGGTTGTTAGAACCAAAGTCACCCACAACAATGAAGGGTGACTAGTGCCATCCAACAGGCGCTGGGCAAACACACTTCAGGCAGAGGAGCAGGACCAAACTGCTGACAGTTGC